AACAACAACAACAACATACCCAGTATAGTCCCACAATTGGGGTCTAGGAAGGGTAATATGTATGCAGACCTTACCCTTACCCTATGAAGGTAGAAAGGTTGTTTCCGGAGACCCTCGGCTAAAAATTAGAGTAGGCAAAGTAATAATAGGATAAATGACACTGCCAGTAAATAAATGAAATATTTTGGAGTTACCACTCTCATTTTGATGAAAAAACAAGGAACTGTTTTAATGCTTAAAGAGGGTAATTGATATAGAGCATTCATACAACCGTCCCAATTAGTTTGGGATCTGAGGTATAGTTGTTGATATTGCATTTTTTAATGTGTACGGTTCTTATACCCACCAAGGAAAGATACTTTAATTTGTTTTATTTACTATTTAGAATCAATTGAACACTGTTAGCTTCTTCTTTTGCCAACATGAAATTTCTTAGACATAAAAGCATGGACTCCCGAATCCTTTGTCCAAAGCTCTGAGGACTTAGGGAAGCCGTATTTACATAACACTAACAAATTCATGATCTGGCAGTATTGCATTCTCAATAAATGAATGGCCGTTTCATTGCATAAAAGAGAATGGTATTTGATGCTTTTGCTTGAAGGTTGTATTCTTTATACAAAATGTTTAGTTATCTAAGATTTTGCCTAGTTATTTGCAGATTTAGTCACATACTTACTACTTCTAAACAATTTCCAGGTCCATCGGGCTGTCACAAAGGACGGCATGGATGTTGCTATGAAAATACAGTACCCAGGTGTTGCTGATAGCATTGAGAGTGATATTGATAATGTGAAACTTCTATTAGGTTACACAAATCTAATACCAGAAGGGCTGTACCTTGAAAATGCTATGAAGGTAAACTTATTCGTGTATTTACATACCAATCCCTGTATTTGATATTTCACCCGTGGTTCTTACAATATAGAAGAAGTGTAAGCTAATTGACCTATTTCTGTGGTTCTAGTCGCCTTAATGAGCTGGACCTTGAAAATGTTTTGAAGGTAAATTTATCTGTTTATCAGTAGAAATTCTTGCGTTTGACATGTCACCTGCAGTTCTTAGAGTTTAACTTATTGTTCACTTGAGTTGAAAGAGGAGGATAGAGTGGAAGTTTAAGAGAATGGTAACATCTATTTGACTTGTTTGGTTATGAAGTATAAGTATGGGAATCAAAATTAAAGCGAGATATTACCATTCCATTTCAGCTCAAGACCAGTCTGAAAGTTGATGGAGAAGAAGTGACTGACTTTCATTTCCCTTTCTTGTCCAATTAACAACTAAAGGTAGCTGATGAAGCTAACTAAGGGTAGTGAAAATTCACCTTCCCTTCCCCTTTAGGTTATACTGTTAAGTAGCTTAAAGTGGAGGTACTTTCTCGTACAATGCTACTTCTCTTGATGAAATTCACCGTTCGAAGTGCAATTTGGTTTCCAGTTCACATTTGGGAAACAGCACCCTCGTTGCTCCAGAGACACTTATTTGACAATGATCATGGCTCCTTGCTTTATGGTGCAACTTTAATGAAATAGATGTGTTTTATTCTTCAACCTCAGGTGGCCAAAGAAGAACTCTTTCGTGAATGCGACTATGAGCTGGAAGCGAAGAGCCAAAAAAGATTTGGCATTCTATTATCTGGCGCGAAGGGATTTTATGTTCCAGTGGTCATAGATGATTTGTCAAGTAAACGAGTACTGACTTCAGAACTTGTCCCTGGTAACTGCTTTAAATCTAGCCATTTCCAACATTTGAAAACACCAAAAATTTAATGTTACGGTTGGTTCCTTTCATCAGCTGATGTATTTGGCGTCAGGTTCGTTGGGATTATTTGAAGTTGATTTTCGTAATTGATAACTGCTATGAATATTTTTGTAGGAATTCCAATTGACAAGGTGGCGTTACTGGATCAAGAGACTCGAAACTACGTCGGAAGGAAATTGCTCGAGCTTACTCTGATGGAGTTGTTTGTTTTTCGTTTCATGCAGGTAAATTGTTAATTTCTATACAATATTTCTATCCTGTTAGTACTACATAAGATCTAAGGGTTCAATTTCCTTGTTGTATATTCCGTCAAGTGATATAATCCTTCCATTCTTCGGTAAGAAAGGTTGCTGAGAGAATGGAGAAGTCCCTGTAGGCCCTGGACGGGCTTGATGTTTTTCGTATTACTCCCTGGTTATGATTTCTTCCTCATTGTACATTACTTGACAAATATAATCATGCCATGCTACAGTAAACAATGGTGCTGAGAGAGCAACCCACTGAGCCAGGGTGCAAGGCCATGCATGGCCTCACATCTATGTTGCTCGGACTCTTAAAAAATGCTGCCGGTTAGGTGTCGGATCCTCCAAAAGTATGTGCATTTTTGGAGGATCGGACACTCAACCGGAGGCAATTTTGACAGTCCGAGCAGCATAGCCTCACATTACCCCCTATCTCAACCCACATAGTTCCCATTCAACTGCAAGCTTTAGAAGCACACTGGGAAACTTTCCCTCAATAATTTAAGCTTTTCTTTCTCAATGGTTTGTGTAATTATAATTATCTTCGCTCACTGTTACGATTATACTAAGTTCTTTTTATAACTACAATTATACTGAAATTTAGAAGCTGTCCTTTTTCTTTTCCCTAACATTGACTTGTTTAGAGCAGACCGATCCTAA